CCTTGAAGTAGTTCTCCATTCTGGATACGTAGGACTCCCACCGCTCTGGATGTGAGACGTCGAATTCCGAAAGCCTTCCGATTTTCGCCATCTTCGGATCTTCAGGAGACGGGTCTATCAGCCAGCCTACCCCCGAATGCGCACCGGATTGGCGGGCAGCTGCCGAGTCGACGCCGTTCCTCTTTCGCCGCTCAGGACTCCTTGGGTAAGCTTACACTTCTTCCTTTCCAGGTAGTGCAAGGCATCCCACCTTCGTCGCCAGTGTTGAGTCCGTGGCGGGAAAACAGACACGAGAAGCAGCTGGAGTTCTCAGTTTCTTTTATTCAGCGTTCAGCTTACAGGAAGATGGCTTCAGCCTCGCCCAAACGCCTCACAGCCTCTTATATAGGCAACTCCCGGGTAATGGGTTACTTTTCCCGCGCCAGCACCCGCGCATGCGCACGGCGCTGGCGACAGCCTGTCTGGTCCCGGGCAGCTTTGCACCTGCCCGGGACTGCCTGCAAACGCCCGAGCCGTTTGCAAAGGCTCGGGACATAACACCAAGGTTGAGAAACAGGAGTGTAGATGGCGGCATTTTGATCACACCAGTACAGGGAGTCCTCGACTTACAACAGTTCGTTTAGTGACCGTTCAGAGTTACAACGGCACTGAAAAAAAATGACTGATGACCGCTTTTCAGAGTTACGACTCTTGCAGCATCCTCAGGATCATGTGATTAAGATTCAGAGGCTTGGCAACTGGCTCATACTTATGACCGTGGCTTTGTCCTGAGGTCATGGGATCCCCTTTGGCGACATTCTGACAAGGAAAGCCAATGGGGGAAGCCAGATTCACTTAACCACCGGGATAGTAACTTATCAACCACATTGATTCGCTTAACGACTGTGGCACGAAAGGTCGTAAAATGGGGCAAAACTCACTGAACAAATGTCTCACTTAACGGCAGAACTTTTGGGTTCATTTGTGGTTGTAAGTCAGGACTACTTGTAATAGCACTCCCCTACCACCACTGAGGGTAGAAATAAAAAAAGGAACATAATCTCTAATAAACGCTGTATTCCTTCCCCATTTGCCATCTGTTGCTGTACACCGAACTCTCTAAAGTTTTATGCCCACCCACGTTTATTCTCTTTTATACTGGCATCTAATACATTTTACGATCCTGTAAACGAATTACGGAAACAATCAACACAGTAAAGTCACAGCTGGTGTTTCTTCACCCTCATTTTTATTTTTATTTTTCTGGTTCCCAAATCCCTATTATAGGGAGGTCAAGGCACAGGGGCTTTTTGGAAAGCAGAGCGATTAGCATCCAAGGAAAGAAATAGCCCAGAAGTAAATCGTAGGGAAAAAAAAAAAAGACTTTAAAAATTCAAAGTATGGGCAAATAATTCATAAGGCAGGGAAGAACGGAAAGTGCCTAGCTCTCCGTTATATTCATAATATTTCTATACAGCCGACTGGAAAGGAGCGAAGAAGGTGTTTTGAAAGAAATCCTTCCCGGAAATGTATAATCTGTCAATTTCTCAACTGAGACCTTTGAGACACAATAGTATCACAACGTTTACAAGAAGACAAAACGTCTCTCAGCTGATCTCGGGGTTTTGAGAAAAAGGAACTGACGAACTGAGGGGGCAAAACCAGTGGTGGGATTGAGCCGGTTCAGCAGAACCGGTAGCCAATTTTTTGTTGCCCAGGCCCAGAATGGACTTCCGGAAATGGCATCCACACAGAGAACTGGTTGTTCACCTATTTGAATCCCCCGTCCCTCCCTCGCTCCCTCCCTCCCTCCCTCCCTCCCTCCCTCCCTCCCTTCCTTCCTTCCTTCCTTCCTTCCTTCCTTCCTTCCTTCTTTCCTTCCTTCCTGTGGTAGGATTCAGCCAGTTTGCACCACTTCGGCAGAACCGGTAGCCAATTTTTTGTTGCCCAGGCCCAAAACGGACTTCCAGAAGCAGCATCCATACAGAGAACTTGTTGTTCACCTATTTGAATCCCACTCCTTAGTCCCCTAATCATCTTTGTTGCTCTTCTCTGTACTCTTTTCTAGAGTCTCAATATCTTTTTTACATCATGGTGACAAAAACGCTTGGAATAGAGCATCCAGTTTTGGCCACCACGATGTAAAAAAGATGTTGAGACTCTAGAAAGAGTACAGAGAAGAGCAACAGAGATGATTAGGGGACTGGAGGCTAAAACATATAAAGAACTATTCCTGGAATTGGGTATGTCTAGTTTAATGAAGAGAAGGACGAGGGGGACATGATAGCAGTGTTCCAATATCTCAGGGGCTGCCACAAAGAAGAGGGAGTCAAGCTATTCTCCAAAGCGCCTGAAGGCAGGACAAGAAGCAACGGATGGAAACTCATCAAGGAGAGAAGCAACCTAGAACTAAGGAGAAACTTCCTGACAGTTAGAACAATCAACCAGTGGAACAACCTGCCTCCAGAAGCGGTGAATGCTCCAACACTGGAAGTTTTTAAGAAGAGACTGGACAGCCATTTGTCCGAAATGGTATAGGGTTTCCTGCCTGAGCAGGGAGTTGGATTAGATGACCTCCAAGGTCTCTTCCAGCTCCGTTATTCAGTTATTCTGAATGAATGAAGCATCAAATCCCTGCAGGTGACTTTCAGCCTGGCCTTGCACAACATTCAAAACTGCTAAAAAGAATCCACCAAACCAAGTTAAAGCTAGCCAATCTCAAATGGACCCGGATGGTCTGAACCCACTTTTTTCTATGCATTAATCCTCTTGCTTGCCTGGGAAGGCAGAGCAGGTGATGGTTTGACTTCCCCCATTTCATGCGCAGCCGTCACGCTGTATTTATTGCTTGGCAAGGAATCATCTTTTGTTGAGCTTGATCCCAAGCCTGTGGGATTCAATAAAGAACGTCACGGTCCTTCTTCTTTTCTTCTGCAGCTGCCCTTCAGAAGGTGATCCCGTTTGGAGTTAAGAGGAGAGAGAAAAAGACAACTGGAGGGAGGCTGATCAAAGTGGGAGAGAAAGGTGTCAAACTTATTCTTAGAATGAGCCTGATCTCAAAAGAGAATATTGCCAAGGGCAAATGGTTATGGGTAGTCCTTGACTTACCACCGTAATGGAAGCTGAAAATTACGGTTGTAAGCAGTTGTGGGATTCAAATAGGTAAACAACTGGTTCTCTGTGTGGATGCCGCTTCCAGAAGTCCATTCTGGGCCTGGGCAACAAAAAATTAGCTACCGGTTCTGCCAAAGTGGTGCAAACCGGCTGAATCCCACCACTGGCTGTAAGTCATGACAGTCGTGAAGCAGGTCATCACGTGACCGACCCAGTTTCATGAGCTGTTAAGTGAACCCGTCTTCCCCCATTGACTTTGCTTGTCAGAGGGTCGCAAAAGGGGATCACATGACCCCAGGGCACAGCGACCGTCATAACTACATGCCAAGCATCTGAATCTTGATCATGTGACCATGAGGATGCTGCAATGGTGTGAAAAATTCTCGTCATTTTTTTCAGTGCTGTTGTTAAATTTGACTACCTGTAATCTAGCCAAGACAAGGAACTCTGCTGGGATTGGATGGCTTAAATGTGAGAGAAGTCCAAATTCAGCCAATGAGCTTCCACGGTGAAGATAGACTTGACTATGGGCCTTCCCAGTGTTGAAGGAAAAGTCTTCATCGTGATTCAGTCCAAGCTGGAGAGAAACAACACAGCGACTGCTTTAGAAAGAAGGTTGCAGTTTATTGAAGAGGAGAGCTAGGCAGAAAGATGGTTCTGGAAGAAAAAGAGAGAGAGAGAGCACATGTAAGGAGTGGGTTTTTATACCCTCTGGAGCCTTTTGTTTGGAGTTGTTTCCTGTTCCTGTTTGAGGCTTTGTATTTCCTGTGTCATATATTCTGACCTGAGTCTGGGTGTGCCCTTTGGCATCTGTGAGTTAATCCTAATGTCCTGTCTTAGACTTTGGGTGCGGTATGTAGATTTTAGGTTTCTTTGTCTTCTTAATCTTCTAGCTGGGGGCTTCCAACCTTCCTGGATTATTTACATCTGCATTTGTACAGAGCTGGTTTCTGCTTGGGAGAGGGAGACTTGGGGCTATTAAGAAAACTGGGCATGCTTTTCTGCCTCTTTAAGATCCTTTGAGGAAATATATTTTTCTGCCCTTTTCATATTTCCTTTTCTGGGGGGGGGGGGCTGAATTCCCACACCAGTCTTCTCCAATCTATAACCCCACACCGTTTTTCACTAGCAGGCTGGCTGATAAGCTGAGATGGAACATAATTGGAATTGTTTTGAAGGCAAGACTTGCAATTATTATTATTTTTTTTTACTATTTTACTATTAAGGGAAAGCCATCCAAATCCCAACACTATTTCACAAACGTGTTCATGCTGAGCTATCCAGCTAGAGCAGGGATGGGGAACACTGGCCCTTTTATGATTTGTGGACTTCAACTCCCAGAATTCCTGAATCTGGAAGGGACCTTAGAGGTCTTCTAGTCCAACTCCCTGCTCAAGCAGGAAACCCTATACTATTTCAGACAAATGGCTGCCCAGTCTTTTCTTAAAAACCTCCAGTGATGGAGCACCCACAACTTCTTGAGGAATTCGTTCTACTGATTTAACAATTCTTACTGTCAGGAAGTTTGTCCTTAGTTCTAGGCTGCTTCTCTCCTTGATTGGTTTCCATCCATTGATTCTTGTTTTGCCTTCAGGGGTTTTGAAGAATAGGTTGACGTAGGTCAGGGGTCTTCAAACTTGAGGCCTTTTATGACTTGTGGACTTCAACTCCCAGAATTCCTCAGCCAGGCAAGCTGGCTGAGGAATTCTGGGAGTTGAAGTCCACAAGTCTTAAAGTTGCCAAGGTTGGAGACCCTTGGCCTATTATTGCATGGCTGGCTGAGGAATTCTGGGAGTTGAAGTCCACAAGTCATCAAGGGGTCATCGTTCCCCACCTCTGAGCTAGAGGCAAGCTGGGAGTTTCTAAGTGTACCATCTTAATGACCTCTGCTTTCTTTTCTTCCACAGGTAAATGTTGAAGACACCATCGAAATGCTACCCAAGTCCCGGCGAGCGCTCACCATTCAGGAAATTGCAGCCCTCGCTCGATCTTCTTTGCACGGTAAGATGTAGAAGAGGGCAGCCATGTTCTCACAACTGTGCGAGTTTTAACCTTAGCAATCGTTTCAGAAGGGGGCTGTGTGCAAGTCCAAGAATTGTGGGCTGAGCAAATCTGGGCAAGATTTGATGACTGAAGAGTAAGTGAAGTAGCCAGTCCCAAGGATGTAGAACCCAATCTGAATTTGGTAAAAGAGGCTTCAGATTCGCCACGGTGGCTACGCGTAGATGAACTTCAGATTCGATCTGGATATTGATTTATTTTACTAGTAAAAGGGCATAGGTGTAGCTCCCGACTTACAGCCAGAATGGAGGCCAAATTTCCGTTGCAAAGCGAGACAGTGGCTAAGTGAATTTTGCCCCATTTTACTTGGCACGGTCGTTAAGCGAATCGCTGCAGTTGATGAATTACTAACCCAGTGGTTAAGTGACTTTGCTTGTCAGAATGTCACCAAAGGGGATCACATGACCTCAGGACAAGCCACGGTCGTAAGTATGAGCCAGTTGCCAAGCCTCTGAATCTTAATCACATGATCATGAGGATGCTGCAAGAGTCGTAACTCTGAAAAGCGATCATAAATCACTTTTTTCAGTGCTGTTGTAACTTTGAACGGTCGCTAAATGAACTATTGTAAGTCGAGGACTAACTGCAATGGTTTATCTTATCACTGTGTAACGGAAAGGGTATTAATAGTCCAATCTGGCGTTGGGCTCTGTCTTGGCATATTAGACTCCAATTAAACATACTGAGGTTGGAATATCATTTTAAGACAATTTATTGGAAACGTTTCAATAAAAAGGATTCGCTCTCTGCAACAGAGAGAAAACCGGGAACAAAGGGCCTGCGTTTGCTTTTTGCACAACAAAGACAGTTCAAAGAAAAAATGGATTGGTAAAGAAGAATGTATAAAAGATATAGCGATTTAACAAATTAACTTTTACAAATGTTAGTGAAATATAAACTGATCAGAGAAGATGTTAGAGCAGTGGTTCTCAACCTTTTTAATGCTGCGACCCCCAACCGGTCGTAAGTCGAGGACTACTCAACCGGTCGTAAGTCGAGGACTACTCAACTGGTGCAGCACCGTTTGCAGAATGGGACTTTTGGCGGGCTCAGCAGGGCAGAGACAGCCTGGACAATTCCTATTGGCTTTTGAAAGCCAATAGAATTAGACTCTATTCAAGAGAGTCTATTCTATTGGCTTTCAAAAGCCAATAGAATAAAAGGGAGTAGCACAGCTAAGGAAAAGGGGGAAATGGCGGACTGTGTTGTTTGGTGACCCCTGTGAAATGGTCGTTCGACCCCAAATGGGGTCCTGACCCACAGGTTGAGAACCACTGTGTTAGAGGCAGATGTCGTAAGATAGATAAACAGTATAGTATTTTTATAACGCATTAAATAGAACATTGGGAGGGTGCATCTAAATGGAAAACCTGGATATTTAGATGATTCATATTGAGCAAATTAGGACTGATAAGAATTGTTTGAATATTATGGGGAAATTAAGTTAAGAACTGTGAGAATAGGATATATGGCAAACTAATAAGATGATTTTTAGAAAAATAACACAAGTTGATAAGAGAAAATGTCCTAAATGGACATTATTATTTGTACAAACATGAAAAAAATGTTTATATTTAACCATTTATGCACTGAAAATATTAAGAGTATATTTGTTTAAGGTTGAAGAAGGGAGAATATTATTGGGAGAAGGGAAGAAATACACTATTAATTAATATACTAATTATGGAATTACAAAAAATTAATTATTATTGACTGTTAATTAACTACTATTGATTGTGGGTTTTTTTTTCAAAATATATGAACCAAGACAACACACTGTACACTAGGCACTAAGGATTGTTACTGTAAAAAAATCAATAAAACGTTTCTTTAAAAAAGAAAAGAAAGAAAAAGAACGTATCCTGCCCCGTTACCTCAGGGAAATAAGGCATCCAGTAATAGGTAAGCATAAGAATTGGAAAGAACATAGGAAAAAAAAAATTAGTGTGGGAAGAAACCGCATGAGTCCCATAAACTCATTGTAAAAAGATGCAGTTGCCTTCATTTGAAAGAGTTCGTGCATATAAAACAATGCAGGTAGTCTTTGACGTACGACAGTTCATTTAGTGACCGTTCGAAGTTACAACGGCCCTGAAAAAAGGGACTTAGGACCGTTTTTCATACTTGATGCGGCATCCCCATGGTCACGTGATCAAAATTCAGATGCTTGGCAACTGGTCCATACTTATAACGGTTGCTGTGTCCCTGGGGTCATGTGATCCCCTTTTGCGACCTTCTGACAAGCCATGTCAATGCATTTAATAGTTGTGTTGCTAACTTAACAACTGCAATGACTCCCTTAACCACCGTGGCAAGACAGGTCGTAAAATGGGGCCAAACTCCCTTAACAAGTGTCTCACTTAACAACATACATTTTGGGCTCAATTGTGGTCGTAAGCCGAGCGCTACCTGTATAACGGGGCCCACATGCCGTGGCCCTCAGAAGGAGAGCTAATTTAGTGTTGTGACTGACGGACTGGAAACCAGGAAGTTTTATTGAGTTTTGCCTTAGGCACGAAGCCAGTTGGAAGAGTTTGGGACAATCACTCCCTCTGTGAGCCTTAGAAAGAAGACTTCAAGGGCAAGCGACTTCTGAAAATCTTGCTAAGAAAACTGAATGCATGTGTCCATAAAGCTGCCAAGAATGAAGGCTGGCTCGAATAGCAAAACGAAGAGGACACTCCAAAAGGGCACTGGAAAATATTCTGGAATATAGAATAGAATAGAATAGAATAGAATAGAATAGAATAGAATAGAATAGAATAGAATAGAATAGAATAGAATAGAATAGAATAGTACTCTTCAACATCTTCATCAACAATTTGGATGAAGGGATAGATGGGGAACTCATCAAATTTGCAGACGACACCAAGCTGGCAGGAATAGCTAACACTCCAGAAGACAGGCTTAAGATACAGAAAGACCTGGACAGACTTGAACACTGGCACTAACTAACAAAATGAAATTCAATGGTGAAAAAAGCAAGGTTCTACATTTAGACAAGAAAAACCAAATGCACAAGTACAGCATAGGTGGCACCATGCTCAATAGTAGTAACTGTGAGAGGGACCTTGGAGTCCTAGTAGACAATCACCTAAATATGAGCCAGCAGTGTGCTGCAGCTGCCAAAAAGGCCAACACAGTGCTAGGCTGCATTAACAGAGGGATAGAATCAAGATCACATGAAGTATTAATACCACTCTTCAATGCCTTGGTAAGGCCACACTTGGAATACTGCATCCAGTTTTGGTCACCACGATGTAAAAAAGATGTTGAGACTCTAGAAAGAGTACAGAGAAGAGCAACAAAGATGATTAGGGGACTGGAGGCTAAAACATATAAGGAACGGTTGCTAGAATTGGGTATGTCTAGTTTAACGAAGAGAAGGACAAAGGGGGACATGATAGCAGTATTCCAATATCTCAGGGGCTGCCATAAAGAAGAGGGGGTCAAGCTATTCTCCAAAGCACCTGAAGGCAGGACAAGAAGCAACGGATGGAAACTAATCAAGGAGAGAAGCAACCTAGAACTAAGGAGAAACTTCCTGACAGTGAGAACAATTAATCAGTGGAACAGCCTGCCTCCAGAAGCAGTAAATGCTCCAACACTGGAAGTTTTTAAGAAGAGACTGGACAGCCATTTGTCCGAAATGGTGTAGGGTTTCCTGCCTGAGCAGGGGGTTGGACTAGATGACCTCCAAAGTCCCTTCCAACTTTACTACTATTACTAGAATAGAATAGAATAGAATAGAATAGAATAGAATAGAATAGAATAGAATCTGGAACGGACCTTGGAGGTTTTCTAGTCCAGCCCCCTGCTCAAGCAGGAGAACCTATACCAGTGATGGCGAACCTTTTAGAGACTGAGTGCCCAAAAACCGGCCCTGCCTCTGCTTCGCCCCCCACCCTGTCTGCCTGCAGGGCCACTCACTGCCTCCAGGGCCCGCCACAGATCGTCCAGGCAGCCCAGCAGCGCCATGGTGGCCACGCCCTCTGCCCACACCCTGCAGCATCAACTGTGCGGGATGGGGCGTGAGGACAGAGTCTTGTCTGTGCTGCATGGCTGCCATGTCCTTGCCTGCACTGCTCCGTGTGGGCCACACTCGGGGGCGATTCTCTTCCAGGGGGGCTGCTGGTGAGGGGGTCATGGGGGGAGGCAAAGCTGCGGCAATGGCATGTGTGCCCACAGAGAGGGCTCCGAGTGCCCCCTCTGGCACGCGTGCCATAGGTTCGCCACCACTGACCTGTACCATTTCAGACAAGTGACTGTCCAGTCTCTTCTTAAAGACCTCCAGTAATGAAGCAACCACGATTTCTGGAGGCAAGCTGTTCCACTGGTTAATTGTCCTCACTATCAGGAACTTTCTCCTTAATTCAGGTTGCTTCTCTCTTTGGTCAGTTTCCAACCATTGTTTCTTGTCCTGCCCCTGGTGTTTTGGAGAATAATGTGACCTCCTCTTCTTTCTGGCAGCCCCTCAAATACTGGAACACTGCTATCATGTCTTCTTTTCTTTAGACTAACCAAACCCAAGTCCTGCAGCCGTTCTTCATGTGTTTTAGCCTCCAGGCCTTTGATCAGCTTAGTTGCTCTTCTCTGAACTTCTTCCAAAGTCTCAACATCTGTTTTGTAGTATGACGACCAGAATTGGTTGCAGATTTGGAGAACATCATATTTGGCCTTAGAAACCGGGTGTGTGGCTCAAAAAATCCAGATAGTTTCATGGTTGATGCCCTCATTTATAAAGCTTTTGAATTGTATTGTACCATTGTGTTTATTTGTAGCAATTTAAAGTTTTAAGTACCTATATGTATTTGTTTCAGCCTGCTACTGTTGCTTTGTTTCTCTTACTGCAATCTTTTGACTACCCCATTGGTAGGTCAACCTGATCCATATACCTCTAGTCTAAAGCAGTATTTTTCAACTTTGGCAACTGGAAGATGTGTGGGCTTCCACTCCCAGAATTCTCCAGCAAACATGAATTCTGGGAGTTGAAGTTCACCCGTCTTTCAGTTGCCATGACTGAAAAACAGTGCTCTAAAGCCTGTTTCTCCACAGCCTAATAAATTAAGCGGCTTTTCCTCCTTTGCAGCAAATGCTCTCTGCCCACGTTGCAAATAGGAAAACATTAAACATATGAATGCATGCCGAAACAAAGCGTATTTTAATTAACAAAGGTCAGGTCAGTTGCACGGAAGGGATGAAGGAAGGCTAAAACAAGCCACGAATCAGAGGTTTAGCTCTTTTAGAAGAACGAATGTTCCTAAGAACATGAAATAAGTTCAGTCTGTGTCGAAATGTCAAGTGCCTTAGTTCGGTCGTTGCCAGGATCCTTCACAGGTTGGGGGGAGTCCTGAAAGCGGAAAGGGGGACCCTCTCAGCGACCTGAGGGCACCTCCAGCTAACTCTGACTGTTCGGTTGCAGGTATTTCCCAGGTGGTGAAGGACCATGTGACCAAGCCCACCGCTATGGCGCAAGGCAGGGTGGCCCACCTGATCGAGTGGAAGGGATGGTGCAAGCCCATCGATTCTCCTGCCACCCTGGAAAGCACTTTCAACTCTTATTCGGATCTTAGTGAAGGAGAGCAGGAGGCCAGGTTTGCTGCAGGTGGGACTGCGAGGGAGGGGAGAACAGGTGGGGGCAGGAGCTCTCTCAGGAGATGCCTTAGGTTAGGCTAAATCAGTGTTTCTCAATTAAGATGGGTGGACTTCAACTCCCAGAGTTCCACAGCCAGCATGCATGGACTTCAGTTCCCCGAATTCCACAGCCAATATGCGTGGACTTCAGTTCTCAGAATTCCACAGTCAGCATCTGTGGACTTCAGCTCCCAGAATTCCACAGCCAACGTGCCTAGACTTCAATTCCCAGAATTCCACAGCCAGCAAGCGTGCACTTCAACTCCCAGAATTCCACACCAGCATGTATGGATTTCAATTCCCAGAATTCCACAGCCAGCAAGCATGGACTTCAGCTCTCAGAATTCCACAGCCAGCATGTGTGTAGTTCAGTTCCCAGAATTCCATAGCCAACATGCGTGGACTTCAGCTCCCAGAATTCCACAGTAAGCATCTGTGGACTTCAACTCCCAGAATTCCACAATCAGCGTCTGTGGACTTCAACTCCCAGAATTCCATAACCAGCATGTATGGATTTCAATTCCCAGAATGCCACAGCCAGCATGTTAGTTGGGAATTCTGGGAGTTGAAGTCCACTCATCTCCATGTTGTCATGGTTGAGAAACTCTGGTCTAGTCTATGCCAGCAACCTAATGCCAGATCTGAGTTGCACGTGCCAAGGTTGATACTAAATGCAAGCAAAGAAAGAGTGTTCTCTCTCTCTCTCTCTCTCTCTCTCTCTCTCTCTCTCTCTCTCTCTCTCCCTCCCTCCCTCCCTCCCTCTCTCTCTCTCTCTCTCTCTCTCTCTTTGTGGTGCATTTGGGGGAAAGACCCACCTCTACTAAGCAGTGGGAGGCAGATGGTGTGATTTACAGGCAACATGGGTTGTGCTCACCTTGACATTCTTACTCATGGTTAAGTTAACCGTTGCTTATTTGATTAAGCCAATTTTCTTTTATGCTCATGGGATACAGGGATCTATTGCTAAACTGGTGAATTTGCAGCTATTGAACTGCTGAGATCATGGAATCCTCTCATCCTTCAGTGTCATGGTTCGGATTAGGGAAATACTTCAAAGAACCTGGAGGCATTGTTTATCTTAAAATCTCTTTATTAGTACAGCACCCTTCGGCATGAACATGGGGGATGCCAAGATCTGAATTCATTTCCCCTGAGCACATAATATTCAAGCACAATTCCCTCCTCCAATTAGCAGTCATAAATCACTGTTCTCCAATCAGTTTGAAGGGCAAAGTTTCCCTTCTGTTCTGTAGCCATCCTTTCTTATCTTAACTAATCCCGCACACACATTCTTTCTCCTCTCCTCCTAGCACAGTGGTTCTCAACCTTTTTAATGCCGCGACCCCCAACCAGTCTACTCAACCGGTCATAAGTCGAGGACTACTCAACTGGTGCAGCACTGTTTGCAGAATGGGACTTTTGGCGGGCTCAGCAGGGCAGAGACAGCCTGGACAATGCCTATTGGCTTTTGAAAGCCGATAAAATTGGACTCTATTCAAGAGAGTCTATTCTATTGGCTTCCAAAAGCCAATAGAATAAAAGGGAGTAGCACAGCTAAGGAAAAGGGGGAAAAAATGGCGGACTGCATTGTTTGGCGACCCCTGTGAAATGGTCGTTCGACCATGTCCTAGCATCATCCAATTTAACTCACATAGCTTATACAGAGAGCGGCTGCCTCTTCATATTTTGTCAAAGCAAGAACATCCAACGTTAGCAGCATTGACATTCAGATCTTCTGGAGAAGTTCAGGAGGTATTTGATGACATCCCCAGAAGGGACACATCCATTTTTAAGGGTCCTTCGGTGAGAGTTTTAAAGGTGGAAATGGACATGGCAACCTGCTAAGGAGCGATTTGGCTGCAGTCGCCACCCTTAAAACCTTCCCTTCAGCCCCTCCAAATGGTATAAACCCATACTTCAGAAATACTTCTGTTATGGTGCCTGTTTTTTTTTTGGGGGGGGAATGTAACCTCACTGAGGTTCACATATGCTTTGTAAATTGCTCACAAAGTGGGCTGGTGCCGAGGGAATGAGCTGGAAACAAAACCAATGGAGAAATGAATTCCAGGCTGGTGTTTGGAGGTCAGCTTCATGATAGTTTAATTGGATTTTGTCTGGATATTTTATAAATGTTCCCCACTGCTCATTTGCTACCTTAATCAGATCCTAGTAGAAGTAAGTGTAGGGAGTGAGTTCATTAAGACTTAATGAGTTCATTAAGACTGATTCCTAGCTACGGCTTGTTTCTAAGTGGTTCCTGATGAATAACAGGGGAACTTGCTTGCAAATAGAAATAAATATGCATAGGAAAACCTTACATTAAAATCAAGGGAATCACCAGCCCAGATGCTAAAGTTTCACACAAACAGACCTCTTTGCTTCCCTTCAGACAACTCAGATAGTTAACTTCTTACTGGAACCCAAAGTTTTCCATTTTAGCTTGGTTGAAACCATGGTGCATGTAACTTCATTCACTTACATCAGGGGTGGGGAACAACAGCTGTCTTGCCTCCAGCGTATAATTTGTGTACATAGCAAAAATAGGACAATGGCCCTTTTATGACCTGCGGACTTCAACTCCCAGAATTACTGAGAACAGCACGGGAATGCTGGGAATTGAAGTCCACAAGTCATAAAGGGGGCCATAGTTCTCCATCTCTGACTTGCATGAATACTGGTTATGCTTGAGGACAAAGAGACTCACAGACCAGCAAAAGATCTAGGGGGCTACTAGATTAGAAACAGGTTGTTTGTACTATAATGTCATTGTGACGGATTGTATTTGTTGTGTTGTCGTGATGTGTGTTTTGCTTTTTCTGTAAATTCCCCAATAGATGGGCTATTCCAGGCCTTTGCCTCACCATGGGGCCAGATAAAATTGCCTCTGCATAAGAAGGAGTCCTGCTACAAATACTTCTAAACTTCCTTCCAGAGGGGAGCAACAGAAACAGACCGTAAAGTGGGTGTGTGGGGTCTCTAACAATGCTTTGAGCTCTAAGCACATAGCGCTTACAAGCAGCATCCTGCATACTGGGGAGTGAACTTCCTATGAACTTCTCGGCTGTCCTTACCACTCTCTGCATGGACTTAACTTAACAGCCCCTTTCCTTTCCTATGGACATCCTCTTTGTTATAAAATCCTGTACCTAAGTACATTAACCATATGCTTAAATCTAGTTCACACACCCTACAAAGACAAGGGTGGGTTCCCACAATCCACTGAGCCATAAACTACTCAATAGTATTAACAACAACAACAACAACAACAATAAAAAGTTGGAAGGGACCTTGGAGGTCATCTAGTCCAATCCCCTGCTCAGGCAGGAAACCCTATACCATTTCAGACAAATGGCTGTCCAGTCTCTTCTTAAAAACTTCCAGTGTTGGAGCATTCACCGCTTCTGGAGGCAGGTTGTTCCACTGGTTAATTGTTCTAACGGTCAGGAAGTTTCTCCTTAGTTCTAGGTTGCTTCTCTCCTTGATTAGTTTCCATCCATTGCTTCTTGTCCTGCCTTCAGGTGCTTTGGAGAATAGGTTGACTCATTCTCTTCTTTGGGGCAGCCCCTGAGATATTGGAAGACTGCTATCATGTCCCCCCTCGTCCTTCTCTTCATTAAACTAGACATACCCAATTCCAGCAGCCGTTCCATATATGCTTTAGCCTTCAGTCCCCTAATCATCTTTGTTGCCCTTCTCTGCACTCTTTCTAGAGTTTCAACATCTTTTTTTACATTGTGGTGACCAAAACTGGATGCAGTGTTCCAAGTGTGGCCTTACCAAGGCATTGTAAAGTCTATAGGCCATCCAAGCCCATGTGGGTTTTTTCCCCATCTTTGGAGCTGAACAAACTGAACAAAAATGAGTGAGCTGCTCCATGATTATTTTTTTAAAAGCCCCTTCCCCAGAGGCTCTGAGGAATCTTATTTATGCCGTGGTGTATTCACACGCTTCTTTTTCCCTCATTTCAATATCTTACTTCCAAGAGTGAGGCTGTTTTACATTATTTTTAAGCCTCTCTTTGGAAGCCGCAGCTTGGCAACCAAAACCACATGGCAATTAAAATGACACTTGCCTTTCTAAAAAGAACCTGAAAAATCAACCAGGTTTTGGGCACCGGGCAAAGCTGTCAATTTCATCCCTGGGGTTTGTTTGCATTGCGGTTGTCTCGTCTGCTCTGGGCGACGTTTGAACGATTGGCACCCAGAGAGATGGAGCAATGTCACCAGGTGCCTGGAGAGATGTTTCTTCTCTTGAATCACCATTTTTTTTTAAATAGGTTGGTGCCTTTGGATATGTGGGGTATAGGGGATTCGAAGGTCCTATATTTTGGACCAGCTCTGTCCCTCTTCCTCACTGCCTCTCTCTCTGTGTGTGTGTGTGTGCAAGCTGAACTTGACATGATAGCAACGTTCCAGTATTTGAAGGGCTGCCACAAAGAAGAAGGGGTCAAGCTATTCTCCAAAGTACCTGGAGGCAGGATAAGAAGCAACGGATGGGAACTAATCAAGAAGGGAACCAACTTAGAAATAAGGAGAAATTTCTTGACAGAAGAATTAATCTGTGGAATGACTTGCCTCCAGAGGCTGTGGGTGCTTTATCACTGGAGATTTTTAAAGAAGAGATTGTTGTTGTTAGTTGCGAAGTCATGTCTGACCCACCGCGATCCCATGGATAATGTTCCTCCTGGCCTTCCTGTCCTCTACCATCTTCTGGAGTCTGCAAGATTATCTGGGACACTACACATCCTCTTCACGACCTATTTTCCTTGTTACATTCTGGGAGGAGGCTTTGTGGTATCTGTAGCAGAACATCTAGATTCAGCCATAGTTTCATTCCATACAGCATTAACCTTGTGAACTCTCAAGCTTCCTCCTTCCGTTATATATTCAAGATGGACAGTTTTTAATATTTATTTGTTATATATATGTAGGGGTGTGGGTCTGTATATATGTTGTTCATAGTATGTTTAGG